GTATGTGTTTTTAAATGACTAACTTTGGGCTCCTGTGAGGGTGTATGTGCCAATTAGTGTTAGCAAAGGTAAGGATATATTGTCTTGACCCCAGCTGAGGTCAGGTGTCTGGGTCCAATTGTCATCCTCCCATCTAAGAATTGAGTAATCATGTCTTTGAGCACAGATGTGAAAACAAGGCGACTCGGAGAGAGAAGTGTACTCCTGGGCATCTGATTAGCTCAAGACTGAGAAACAGGAAACAAATTCTCCCAATTAGCTATGCATAATTTGTGGAGTCCTGCAGCTCAGTGGTTAGAGCACTCGCCTTGCAAGCGAGACCCCTGGGTTCAATTCCAGGCAGGGCGAAACCTTGGGCAAATTTCCTTACTCCATACGCCTAATAATAATCCCTCCAAAAAACAAAAACAATAATAAAAATTGGTCATTTTCAATCCACGACTGTTTGTGGGACACTGCTGTGCGCAATTGGCTGACGCGTTTCGCCCACAAATATACGGTCAATTCACTTTACAGTATATTTTGTGAAGCGCTTTGAGACGTCGAGAAGATGTGAAATGCGCTATATCAAATGCAAGGATTATAATTATTATTATTATATCTCTTTCTCCTTATCAGTTACTTTGCCATGCAAAAAGAACCTGCTCAAAGATCTCCAGCAGCCTGTGAAGGGTGGGGGGAGGTTGAGTTAGAAACACATAAAAGATGTAATTCTGAAATAGTCGGGAGTTGTGTAGAGGGTCAGCGAACTTCACAGGGTTCGCTGACCCTCTACACAACTAGATATTGATTCTACTGTAGATATTGATTCTACTGTATCTATGTATATGTACAGGAGTGAGGGAATTTATCTCCAGTAAGAAAGTGATCATTAAGAGGAGGAATAGTGAGGTCCATAAGGAAGGAGAGCTTTCTCCAGTAGGAGTGGAGGATTGTTCCAGGGGGTGTTGCTGCTGCCCAGAGTCGAATTGGGTAATATGATTTCGATTCTATCTGTTGTCTAATATATCTATGTAAGGGATACAGTGCAGTTGATTTGTCTGTTCAAGCTTTAATAAAACTTATATTTGAAAGTAACATAGTGTCAAGTCAATTTGTCTACAAGATGTCATAAAGACATGATAAAGTGCTATAACAAATGCAAGGATGTTTTTTTTGCCAAATGCAGTGAGGGGTTCAAGTAAAAAAAAGAGACAAATAAATAGAGAATGTCATAGAAGATTAGACAAACAGAGCAAGACAGGCAAAGCGAGACATAGAAGGTAAAAGAGATCCAGGAAAGAAAGAAAACTCACAGTGAGAGAGAGACCGTGAGAGAGAGAGAAAGAGATAGAAAGAGTGGCAGAGACAGAAAAGGGATGGCACAGCAAGAGAGATAGTTGGGTGTCTATAGAGTTCAAGCCAAGTATGGTTTCACAGACGTTGTGTTCTCTGATATATAATATATATTTGTGGAGTGGAAATATGTAATAATAATAATCCTTGCATTTGTTGTTGCATCTTACCATATTACCAAAATGTCTCAAAGTGCTTTACAGGATTTACTGTTAGGTAGTCACTGTGTATTTGTGGGTGAGACAGTTCATTCCATTTTAAATGGTAAGCACACTGGAAGAAACTTCTCTTTATTTTATTCTGAACCAGATCATTATTCCCTTCTTGAACATGCAGATGCAGCTTTATTCTATTACGCATACTCTTTCAGGTTAGTTAACACTATGCTACAGAAATGAGAAGATAAGGATTGAAACTGTGTGAATCTATAGCAAGCATAGGGTTAAATCATTGACAAGCTTGGGTCAAGTCATGCTTAAAGAAGGTTCTTCCCCTCTTTTGGGCAGGACAGAATTAGGAGGAATCATGGATCTTATGTAAGATTGCTTTGGAATTGAGGAACAGATGGAACATATTACAGATGAGCAAAGTTGCACTCATAACTTTCAGGAGCGACGACTCACTCCTGTGTGTTCCCGCACCTTTTGAGACCACAGCCAAATGCTCATTCGCAGTGTCTATAGTTTCTTGAGCATAACTGCTCAAAAGACATCCCCTTTTGCAAATGCAAGGGTTACTTGATGCGAATAACCCTTGCATTTGATACAGCTCCTTGTCACTTTGTCAAATGTCTCAAAGAGCTTCACAGGATATGCTATAAAGTGGATTGACTATGTATTTTTATAGACAAATGTGCCAGCCAGTTGTACGCAGCAGTGTATCGCAAACAACCATAGAGTGAGTGACCAATTCTATTTTGGGTATATAATGGCCAGGACACCGGGAGAAACTCCCTTCTCTTTTCAAATAGTGCTATGGGAACTTTGACATCCACCTGAACAGGCAGATAATAATAATAATAATAATAATCCTTGCATTTGATATAGCGTTTTTCACGTCGGGAGGACGTCCCAAAGCGCTTCACAGAACACACTGTAAAGTGAATTGACTGTATATTTGTGGGCGAACGCGGCAGCCAATTGCGCACAGCAATGTCCCATAAACAGTCTTAGATTGAAAATGACCAGTTTATTATTGTTTTTGGTTTTGGAGGGATTATTATTAGGTGTGTGGAGTAAGGAAACTTGCCCAAGGTTTCGCCCTCTGCCTGGAATTGAACCCAGGTGTCTCGCTTGCAAAGCGAGTGCTCTAACCACTGAGCTACAGGACTCCACAGATGGGACATGGGTTTAACATCTCATCCCAAGGCTTAATCCCATACAAGCAAGCTGAATAATAATAATCCTTGCATTTGATATAGCGCTTTTTACGTCTTCTAGACGTCTCAAAGCGCTTCACAGAATATGCTGTAAAGTGAATTGACTATATTTCTGGGCGAAACCATACAATACACTGAACGCAAAGGAAAATTGGGGTTTAATGTGACATTTGCAACAATTTAATCTCTTTTGAAATCCAATGTTGCTCTTTTTTTCTCCAATTGCCTGCTGGTGCTTCTTTTCTGTTTCATATTACCTGACTTTGCTTCTTTTGAATTGGCCGTTTTCCCAGTCTCCAATTATCCACGTTTAACCATCTGCTCATTATTTTTGCTCCTGCTCTTTCCCTCCTCCCACTGCCCTTCCATGAAAGAAAACATAACTTTTTTATTTCACAGAAACAAAAGCGAAGCAAAGCATTTCAACAATCAAAAGAAAAACACAGAATAAAATACTGCCACTGCAACGACGGCTTGTGGTTTGCTGTGTGTGTGAGGATTATGTGAGACAGGGATGGCTGAGATCATGGGACTGCAGAGGGCAGGACTGGGTTAGGACAGGATTCTGGTGGATGCACCATTAACACTGCCACTCGCCTTGGCTTTGCTCTCTTAAACGAAACACGACCAGTCTTTGCACCGTGCCAAACCAAACCGAGCTGAGCCAAGTCTTGCTGGAGCTCTTCCACTCGCGGGCCAGCTGGGAATGGGGCGGATGTTCCTTCCCTTCTGGATCCCGACGATTGGACCCGAGTTAAGTTGAGAAACCAGACGTAGACTTCCATATGAGAGTCCTCCCACCCCTTGCAGTCCGGAGCCTATGGTCAGATGGGCTGTCACTCTGCACTGAAGCCCCTCCAACCAAACCCACCCACCAACAACCCACTCACCCACCTCCACCTCCACAGCTGATGCCCTGACTGTGGGCGCTATTAATATTAATGTGGGGTCAGCGCCATAGCCTGAGCTGAGAGAGCGCGGGATTCAGCACAGGGACAGGGATAGGGGGGGAGGGAAAAGGGGGAAGGAAAGGAGGAGGAGGTGGGAGGAGGAGGAGGAGGAGGGTGGGGAAAAAAAAGTTATTTACCCTGACGTCAAATGTAAACAAAATGGCGAAACGGGGAGAGTGGAGAAGAGGAGGAGGAGGAGGAGGAGGAGGAGAGAAAAGGAAGGAAAAGAAGGAGAGAGAGGGAGTGGGAGAGGAGTGTCTGACTCTCCAGTGATGTGCTCGGTCACAGGCATGTGGAGTCCAGCCTGACAGGCGCTTTGCTTTGCTGGCAACTTTTACTTACTTTTCCTTATTACTATATATATATCTATATATTTTTTGGTGAGAGTGGGAGAGAGAGAGAGAAGGAGGAGGGAGGGGGGGGGGGATTAGGAGGAGGAGGAGGGGGGCATGAGGGGGGAAGAAAAAGAAACAACCACCTAACTTGGCTTATCTATCTATCTATCTATCTATCTGTCTGTCTATCTATCTGTCTGTCTGTCTGTCTGTCTGTCTGTCTGTCTGTCTGTCTGTCTGTCTGTCTGTCTGTCTGTCTGTCTGTCTGTCTTATCTGTCCAGTTCTCTATCTGTCTATTTATTATGTATTTATTTATTTGTCCGCCAATTTATCCGTCAGTCTCTTTCATCTATTTTATTCGTAATATTATTGACACATGAGGCTTCTCGAGAGCGGCAACATGCACAAAACCAGAAACAAATCCAAACGCCTGAACCTCTCCAAAAAGCGGAAAAGGAGCCTCTGCAATGAGCTGCAATAACTTCCCTTCGGGTTGTGACAACTTGGAAGAAAACAGGAGCCAGACTTGGGAGTTCAGTTGGTGGCACTACTGTGCAGCGAAATCCTTTCCTCTTTGCTCTCTCTTTCTCCTTCCCTCTCTCCCAATTATTACTCACCCCCTCATCCACCCACATTTCTATTTCGAGATAAAAGAGAGAGAAAGAGGGGGTTGGTTGGGGGTTACAAAACAAAACTCATTCAGCTCTGAAAAGTAACACTTATGAGGGGTTTTTTTTTAAAAAAAATAAGAAATGCCTGACTTTGGGGGTAGGTAGATATCCTTTTTTTTTTGCCCCCCCATTTTTTTTCAGCCAGAGATATATATATATATATATATATGTGTGTGTGTATATATATATATATATATAGTATAATCATATTTGATTTATTTTGAAACGGACAGGTGGGATTTTTTGTGTTTTTCCTCCTCTTTTTTTTCTCTCCCACTCACTCACTCTCTCACTCTCTCTCTCCTCCCTCTCTCCCTCTCTCCCTGTGTGTGTGTGTGTGTGTGACTGGACGTGTCAGGCGCGGAGTATGGCTGTGAGGTCTCGCAGACCATGGATGAGTGTGGTGCTGGGGCTGGTGCTGGGCTTCACGGCGGCTTCGTGGCTGGTCGTCCCCAGGGTGGTGGAGATCAACGGGAAAAGCAAGAAATTCTCCAACATCTGCTCCTCGTTGTTTAACCGAGCGGGACTGGGGAAGGCAATGCTGGGCAGGAGCGGCAGCAGCAGCAGCAGCAGCAGTGTCGGCGGCAGCAGCAGCAGCCTGGGCTGGCACAAGGACCATCTGCTCTTCAGCAAACTCCGCAAGGAGGAGGAGGAGGGCAGAGGGGAAGAAGAGGAGGACGACGCGGAGGAGGAGGAGGAGGAGGAGGTGGAGAAGAAGAAGAAGGAAAGAGAGGAGGTGGGTAGAGGTGGTGGTGGTGGTGGAGGAGGAGAGGAGCAGAGGAGCCGCGGAGGGGGTCACGTTAAAAGCAAACATTTCCTTTACGTGGGGNTCATGACTGCCAAGAAGTACCTGGACTCCCGAGCGGTGGCCGCTTACAAGACCTGGGCACCCTCCATCCCGGGCAAAGTCGAGTTCTTCTCCAGCGAGGGCTCCCAGGACGTGTCCACCTCCAGCCCCATCCCCTTGGTCTCCCTGGCAGGAGTGGATGACTCCTACCCTCCTCAGAAGAAGTCCTTCATGATGCTGAAGTACATGCACGACCTGTACCTGGAGCGCTACGAGTGGTTCATGAGGGCGGACGACGACGTGTACGTCAAGGGGGACAAATTGGAAGAGTTCCTGAGGTCCCTGAACAGCAGTCAGCCTCTGTACCTGGGCCAGACCGGCTTGGGCACCAGCGAGGAGCTGGGCAAGTTGGCCCTGGAGCCCGGTGAGAACTTCTGCATGGGGGGTCCCGGGATGATATTCAGCAGAGAGGTGCTGAGGAGGATGGTGCCTCACATCGGGGAGTGCCTGCGGGAGATGTACACCACACACGAGGACGTGGAGGTGGGCAGGTGCGTCAGGAGGTTCGGGGACACCCAGTGCGTCTGGTCCTACGAGGTGAGTTGAGAGTTTGTGCCAAAGAAACCCTGGGGAGTGGCGCTGAGGGGGGACTTTGGACAGTACTTAAGCAGCGCTGGGGTGAGGAAAGGGTGTCAGGTCCAAAGCACAAGAGCATAACTTAAGAATTGATGGACAAAAGAAGGCCAAGGTCCATCCGATCCTGGCAGTCACATGCACGTGTATCCCAAACTATATACTGTATCCCAAGATATTATTTCCTAAAAGACATCTATCTAATTTATCCATCTAAGGAATCTATCTGAAAGAATTAGAGAGCCTGTTCCATGCATTTATCACTCACTCACTGAAGTAGTGTTTCCACAGATGAAAGTGAATAGTGTTTCTGCAGAGGGCTCACTTGACCCAAGAGTTGTCTTTAATTGGGAGTCACTGCTTCATCCCTCTTAACCGTTACTAATGTCATCAGAATTTGATCTCTCTCTCTACATACATATATATATATATATGTTTTTTGTAAAAAATGAAATAATAAATAAATTCAGCTGTCCTCAAGATGAGCTGAATCAAAATTATTGATGTGCAGTAATCAATTTATGTTTATTTCAATCCTTCCTTTCGAGGATCTTTTCAGATTTATATTATGGAGGAGTGAAGCTAGGATGCAAAATATCTTTGCTCTTCGGGAATGCTTCTCAGTGACTACTTTGTCAGGTGGTACAAGTTTAAAGCTTAACAAAATGTTATCAATTACATTAACTGTGCAATAATGACGTGGGATTGACCTAATGTCCTAATAACAAAGTTAACATTTTCCTCAGTCACTTCGGTAAGGCTTCTACTGAGTGAAATTAAAAAATAATAAACATGTTCACTTTTTGTTTCTATTAAAACATATGCAAGAAACTGCAAGATGCAATAACAAAGTATAAGGACGCAAAATGCATCTCTTTTGTACAGTAGATGAAAGTATATTGTTTTTAGCAGGCGTGATACTGAGTAGCTCAACAGATTAATAGTTTCTGCTAAGATGTTGTCAAGCTCCTGCTTTATCTTTTTGCATGTAAATGATGTTTTACATGCTTTTCACTGTACTTTTAAAAATCTGTGTTCTGGTCATGAATGACTTTGACAGATACGTAGTTGTATTATTCTGGAGTGACAGAGTAAAGAATGACTGCAGAATAAATAAAGGAATGCCACAATGTTGGCAATTTGTAAGTTTGGTTTATGTTTAGTGATAACTGTTGCATTTCAAGTCAGTTGTTTAAAGGGCTGCTTGTTCACCTGAGGTAATATGAATATGATTCAGAATTTCAAGAGGTTAAATAAAAAGTTGACAGGAATGCTAAATATTTACTTGCCTACATGTCTACATGCAAATTCCCTTTTTTTTGCAATGTTTGTGAGCTCGTGCAAAAAAGGAGGTTGTTGTAAAGAAATCAGCAAGGGTATTTGAACTGTGAAAGTAAAGATGAACTCTCTGCGCTTTTGGTATTCCAAGACACTGTATGTAAAAAGTATCATTTTTATAACACAGTGTAGAAACCTTTAGCCAAAGTAGTGAGAGATAGAAGATCAATTGAGATCTTCAAGCCTGTAATGATGCCTTATTGAAAGGACAATGTAAGTAACAGAATACAAACCCGCGTGTCATCCATTAAGAATGCATAATCAATATCATTCACGGTTTTTGTAATGAAGTTTCTTCGCTTTATAAAATACACTTTGTTTAGTTCTTTTGAAGGAATGTTTTGTTTTGTCACTGAGTTATGTGCAAGTGATAGGAAGCGCAAGGTCATATAAGCTTTGGTTTGTGATTCTTGTTCTCGGGATACGGCTGCTATCAAGTACATATTGTTTTCTTATTTGGCACAGTACTGTATATCAAATGTGTTTATAGGGAATCTTTTATGTTCATCTGAGTTAGCTAATATTGCCAAGAGCAATCAGACAGGAGCTAATTGCTCAAGGCTCCCACTTGTCATGAGTATACAGTGATGTGAGTGAGGACAGGATTGTGCTTAAGTTTCATGCTCCCCTGTCTGTGTTTGTCTGTCTGCTGTCTGCTGACTCCTATTGTTTAAACTCATAAGAAGAATAACCACTTGACTGAGCCAGTGGAAGACTGTAAATGCTTGGAGAACCTTATGTCATCATGACTCAGGAAGGGAGGTGAAGGACAGTCAAAAAAAAGTTACTCTAGGGTTGGTTGGGATCAGAATATTTGGAATGATTTTCAATCCTATCTCCATTGGCTGGTGGTAATACTGTGATAATATTGTGATGATGATGGCCATTTAACATTTAATTTACTTTCTCAGCTTTGTGTATAGCTCCTCTTTGAAAAGAGATGTGCACCACAATCTTTTCTTTCAACAAACTACAGTATTTTGCTAGAAGATCACTAAATAATTTCCTAGATGAGCTGTATTTAAAACAAAGTTGAAGGACAATGTACAGTGACATAACATATTGAGAGGACTTATTCATTGTACTTTAAAAAGATAGGATGCAGTGCTAATCCTTGCACTTCACTGAACCGCTACTAAGGTTGTATTTAGTAGTATAATAGTAATAAAAATAATTTTAAATAATCATTGGATTTGATATTGCAACTTAATTATGTCTTCCTCGCCCTGTCTCCCGCCTCTCTGTTAGCCCTTAAAAGCCTCTCCCTCCCAACATGCCCCAGGCCTGACGAAGGATCGTGGACCCGAAATCTTGGTTCACTTTCCTTTCTCCGTAAATGCTGCCTGTCCTGCTGAGTGTTCCCAGCGATTCCTGTTTTCATTTCAGATTTCCAGCATCTGCAGTATTTTGCATTTTATTGTTGTATTTTGCATTTTATCATTGTTTGTTAGTTGATTCAAATAACTTACAGTGGATTGCCATCCTTACCAAAGGCTTTTATTAGTGTGCAAGCTGTTTGTTTTTATTTAATAATTGTTGTTTCTCTTTGTACTAAATCTAAACACTCTTCATAAACATCAGGTTTGGTTGTAGCTGAATGATGAGGGGATTTCTTTGTTTACCCTAAGAAAGATTGTTTATGTATTCATTTCTTACTGTGTTTTGAACTTAGCATTACTCAGTGGCACATGCTGAGCTTGGTCAAAGATTACGTCTGCTTTATAACTTACTTGATGCGAGAAAAAAAAATCCTTGCATTTGGTATAGCACCCGCCTTTCACGATGGGAGGATGTCCTAAGCACTTCACGGGATTTACTGTAGACTGAAGTCACTGTGTATTAGTAGGGAAATGTGGTAGCCTATTTGCAAACAGCAATGTCCAACAAACATCCATGAAATGAATGACCAATTTTATTTGGGGGAAATGCTGACCAGGAGAAACTCCCTTCTCTTTTTTTAATTGTGTGATAGGATCTTTAATGTCTCCAACATTATAACTCAAGAGGTGAGAGCGCTACCATATATCTGTATATGTACTGATCAAATCCCCAAAATTCGGGATGACCACTAAACGGATTTCTGAAGGGAGTGCCTTACTGAATGTGCTTGGAAGAAAATTGAGATGAAAATGATACTCCAGTTGTCATTAGATGGGTCTTTTCATAACCACAGCCAGGTTACCAGTAAAACATAAATATTTGGCTAAATATAATATTTCACAAAAATATATTTCAGGGCTGACAAAATATACAGTCAATTAATTTCACAGTATATTCTGTGAAGCACGTGGAGGCATCTCAATGACGTGATAAGGCGCTATATCAAATACAAGGATTATTCTTGCTATATGCCAGAACGTAGACCTAGGTTGACTCAGAAGGGAATATTTTATGTTTTATGAGAAAAGCTCTGTAACTATTTTGAGATTTGTGGATGGAGCAGTTTTGTTGACATTGTACCTTCTTATTGAAGCAAGCCAACAGGGAATTTGAGTACAAAGATACATAAGTACATATATCATACCTGCTTGAACCATATCTAGATGGCGATAGAAGCTTGCCCCCATTGGTTATATTTTTACATGTAAAATATGTAAAATAATCCTTGTATTTGATAGAGTGCCCATATAGTGTCTGGGGGAATGTCTCAAAGTGCTTCATAGGATTTACTGTAAAGTATAGTCACTGTATTTTGTAGGTGAACATGATGATGTGTAAATTGGGTGGGAGAGACAAGCAACACAGAAATCCTGTGCAAAAACAGGCTGTGGGAACTTTGCTCATTCATGATTATTCAAGTAGACTAGTACAAGTTGGTATAGTTAATGTACTTAAAGAAGATCAGAGTTGCAAAATCGTATGCAGTTTTTTTTTCTTAAAAAAAGGAAAAGTTTTATTTCAGATTTTCAGCCTTTGTAGTTTATCTTGCAAGCTGGGTATTTTTTTAAATTGCACTGCTTTGGTTGGCTAAGCTCTGTTTCCTTGGTAAATGTTAATATAATCACAAAATTCACTCGAGCTTTCTTGAAACAATTTGAACTTTGTTTCTAACAATTGTCAGTTCTCGGAATAGTCTTGTGCCCTAAAGCAATTTCTCTGCCAGAACTGGCAAGAGAAGTCCCCATCAGATAAATGCAATTCTGTAAGCTCGTATTATATGCAACATCCAGGGCCCACTCAGACCAATTAACTTCAAAAGAAGCCTAACCTTTCAGGATCTAACAGTATGTTAAATATTTGTGAATACCTGTTAGCATTGTGCTTGGATGAAGGAATGTTGTTTCATATGATGTAGTGACTGTATTTTGTAGGTGAACCCGATGATGTGTAAATTGGGTGGGAGAGACTTGAGACTTCTGAGAATTGGTGACTCCTGGCCCAACATTAATGTGTGAAGGTGTCAGCTATTCAGATGGAAATTAAAGATGAACTGTGCACCGTGGCATTATTCAAAAACAGAACAGAGTTTCTCCCGTTGTCCTAGCCAACAATCTCCTAGATAAAATTGGTCATTTATTCCATGACTGTTTGTGAGCCATTGATGTGTGCAAATTGACTGCTGCATTTGCTTACAAAAAATACGCAGTTTACTACACTCTACAGTAAATACCTGTAAAGCACTTTGA